ACACATACATACATACATACATACATACATACATATATATATGTTTTCTCGACCTTTGGAAAGAAAAACAAAAGTTTGAGATTCCGAAGATGTAAGCAATGCTCCTTGGTGATCTCATAGAAGCGCCGTGGAGGACACCATCCAAAAAAAAGAGCTGCTTAGAGATGTTTTTGGGTTTTTTCTACCTTTTCAGAAGGCCACTGATAGCGCCCCAAAGTCACATTGACTTGCTGAAGTCAATTTCATCAAATTTCTCTTCGAATCTCATCTAAAAGCCTCTGTTGCTGATGAAGATTTTCTTATACAGCCTCTATTAAGAATTGGCCGCTATACTCCGCGGATCTAATATCAGCTAAGAGGTCGCGACAAAATGGAAGGTTTGTATATACCACGAATGACTAGTTGGAAGAACTGTGTAATCAAAATTCTAGTCATCGAAAAGATTGCCTGGGCATACCTAATAGTCCAGTGATCATCAATTTCCGACAGCAAGCCTCAGTAGCGGCTCCATTCATTCCTGCCTCGGGCTATTATTTTCCTTTGAACCCTCCTAGGTGTGATGTAGGACTCTAATAGTTGTGATTTGGTCTAATTGGTCGAGGTCGACCTTTTGGGTGGGAGCTCTAATTGATTATAACTATGACAAAGGCGAGAAGAGGTCTTTCCAGTGCCGTTCCATCAACTCTAAATAGGGCTTGGATACTATTGTCTCTCGAATTATTTTCCTCATTTACATCCAATTCGACTTCTTCTCATATAAACAATTTTCTCTTCAGGTTATGCCCTGAAAAAGCTCCTCTCCTTCCCATTGTATATGGGTGATAACACCATTGACCAACACCTTATCAGTCACACCTTTCATGTTATCAGGAAAAAAACATCTCCATGAGTCAGTGAAAATGGTTGAAGCGAATTGAGATAGCTGACCTTGACCTGTCTGATGCCATTTCTCAACTCTATTCGTCTGTGAGCGACCTCCATGACACGATTCCATTCGTTCACAGCAGTCANACGTCAAAGGTTATATAGTCGGTAACAGCCGCAGGATTTCATTTGAATGAGAATTCAGTGATCAACAGAACCTTTGTGAGCTTCCATTACCACCTGCAGAAGTAATTATCATTGGCGTAGCGCGAAGTACTCCGAAAGGTCTTAAGTCCTACCTAAAGCCAAATTGGAAAGTCCATTCAACCAATATGCTCGGTTTACTGCCCAGAATGTTTTGGTTGTTTAGTGTTCCCAACTAGAAGAGTGTTAGTATAACTGCGGGCTTTTTCACCACCAAAATAATTCTTGCAAAATACATTAGTTGAACTCCGAACTTAACCAGCCACCTTGGACTTTGCATTCCCAGAAGGCTGTGCCAGAGCATTGCAACATCTGCTTTTCAGTTATATTAGCTGAATATATGATGAAGAGGATCAGGGTTGTAGGCACAAGGCGAAAGGTTTGGCTCCGAAGCTACCTGGCTCTAAATTACTTATAAATTACTGATGCGAAGACATCAGTTTGGTTCGCATAATTGATCATCGAGGACAAATGCAACATTACGGCCAGCACGTGTTTCATGCATGAGTAGTGGTATTCCACAAACAACATCCTTCCACCTTTGTCCGTCGTATTGTACGGCTTTAGTTTTTTCCTTACTTCTTTGTTATGTCAATTTGACATTTCAACTAACTATTTATGTCAAACGGAACGTCCTGAGAGGTTGCTCTATCGACTGGCAGAGGAACTTAGCCATTCAGCTAAAACTCCTCATTGAGGACCATTCAAGTCTGCGAAGGTACAACTGTAAGCCTTTAGTGCTTCGGAACGAATCGCTGTTGCCACTAAACAACAAACAGTAACGATCATAAACACATTACAATGGACATTTGAATGGCCATTCACATTTCCCGCTACCCAAAAAANNNTTTTTTTTGAACGATACATTCATCAAGTTATGAATCATTTCATTCCAATCGTGAAGCACGTGTATTGAACTCGGTGGTCTGTGTTGTTTTCGCTCTGCCAAAATCAATAGTAGTGTTTACTTGGACGGTGATGTTTGCCTACTCAAGGCGAAACCATGGCATCGGTTGAGCAACGGTATCATATCTTTTTGCTTGAATTATGCATGTGAATGCCAGTTTTTTCCCCAATTGAGAATGCGTTCGGCTGTTTAGACGTCATGATTCATAAAAATATTTATATTAAAATATCTTTAAAATTACGTCCTTTTAAATTCTATATCGCATTGGTAGTATCATCACTAGGGACCTTAACAGTAAAGTTTCAAGGTGGTTCCCCTGCTTGTAGTTACAGGCAAATCTGAAACCCTCTCGAAAAGTGCTATGGATAACTGGTAGCGGTTGTTTACAGAAAACACTTCTTAAAAACAGATTTCTTGAACGGGCACCAAAAAAGCCATGTGAGGACTCGGTACCCTTCCATGGGCTACCACACATCTTTGCAACAGTCGGATGCATTGCGCGTAGTCGAGAAATCCCAACGGTTATTGCTTGCAGTAGCTATAAGACAAGTTTGAGATCTCAGCATGTTGTTTAATTGGATGACTAACTGCTTATGAAACGGAACGCCCCGATAGGAATGAACACCTACAAATATGACTGGGATTGGTTGCTGGCTCGGCTCCTGCCTAGGATCGTCCTATCTTCGGAGCAGCATTAGGAACTTTCGAGTTCCTCGAATTTTTGCTGTTCGCTCGTTGAACAATTCCTTACTTCAACTTTTCTTCTTTTAAAGTCTTACACCTTTTCTATTTGTCGCGGTCTCCTACTCAGAAAATGCCCTCTTGATGATTTCCTTGCGGAGAAACTCAACGCTGAACTGGTTACTTTCCTTTCAGAATGATTTTCCTAACAATTCTGCTATTACTGGTGGGCTATGCACTTCTGAGGATGTGGTTGACTCGAAAGTCGCTCCCACCCGGTATGTTCCATGCTTTCTGTCTTCTTAACCACCTATTTTGAACTGACTTCACAGGTCCCATCCCGATTCCTTTCGTTGGAAACCTACATCAGTTGGCTTATAAAATTATGGTCGAAAAGAAAGACTTCGCTGGATCCATGAGAGATTTCGTAAAGGTTCGTTCCTTTTCTCGAATCCTCATTTTCCCTTTCTAATTCCTACTGTTAAGGATTACGGTAGCGTGCATACATTCTGGTTTGGACCCGTTGCTACAGTACAGATCTGTGATTATCCAAGTGCAGTTGAAGCTATGATAAAAAATGGTTCCGCTTTTGTAAACAGGGCTTTGCCATTTCTGTTTGAGACCTCGCGAGGTGATCTGATTCGCTTTTTGATAGAAAAATCTGAGCTACTCCAGTAATATATATGTCTTAATAGGCGGTCGAGGAATTCTGGCCTCGAAGGATTCATTTTGGACAGAGCAACGACGATTTTCATTGCACACTTTACGTAATTTTGGATTGGGGAGGAATATCATTGAGGAGCGGATCATGTACGAATTGGATTTCACGTATGTTTCCTCCGAACACCTTTTGACAGTCCGCCACACATGAAATTTGGTGACTGTGTTTTTTCACCCATGAAAAATTCTTATTGTAACAGTTTCGTGATTTTTTTTCTGTAAATTTGTATATTTTTATAATTTGCGAATTTTTGTATCATATTTTGCTTAAGCGCAGCTGTAATCCAGTGACCCATGTTTTTTGAACATGAGAACTTTAATACTTCTGTTGCCCCTCTGGCATCATATACTTCTTTATTATGGAGAGAGGTAGGTCACAGGTCTCGCAATAGATCTCAAATTCATCTGGAAATTACAGAACCTTAATTTTGATTAATGAGCTTACTCCATCCCTAAGATCCCATCCTTTCACAGGAGACCTCTGTCTCAAGGACAATATTTGCTTCTTGTACTTCTGTGAATCTGAGTAAGCACCATTTTCCAATTCTTCGAGTCTGCATTAATGATGGTGAAAAAACTCTGGTGAACAGTCTCTAACTGAAGAGTTGAAAGAATAAAGTCTCACAGGGATGGCGATTTGTGGGGGAAACTTCGGCTCGGGCGTGACTCGAACTCGTTCTTGTGCATTATGGACACCGAAAGAGCAGGGAGGGTAGAGTAGGGTGGCCGAAAAGCACAAGTACGGGTTCGAGTCTCGTCCGTGGCCGAAGTTTTGCCCACAAGTCGCCATCATTGTGAGACTTTCCATCGCGTACAGCGGCGATATAACAGCAGTTTACAAATTATCAAGTCAAAACAAGTTAAAGGGATAAAGTTTTCGAGCGTTGATCGATCTCGTCTGAGGGATGCGCCCAAGCACTCGACTTCCATTTGGAATCGTAGTGGCGTAATGAGTGCGTATGTGGCCTATACAATGAATTGCAGTGGCCAGTCGCTGTACAAGTCAGCGCTTTTATCCTCCCAGACGAGTCTGGTATCAATTCACCGACCCCGGAGGGATGAAAGGCTTGGTTGGACTGGGCGGGCATCGATCCGGGATTCGAACGCCTGACCATGCGCGTATGATAGTGCGTCACTTGCCACTACATTACTTCCGCCCATTCTAACTGGTATTACATATTTGCATTATGTCATGATCTTTCTTATAACCGTGAGTATAAGAGAAGATATAGGTTTCCTCATTCGTTACTGAACGTTGCCTCTGAGGACGCCAGGTTTACTCCATGGTGCGGCGCTGGTGGTTATTCCATTGGTTGTGGGAAGTTCTTGAACCAGTCTCATCGTCGGAAGCACGCCGTTGTGCCACTTCCAGGTCCCACAGCACTTGATTCTAACTGTCTTATTAGTCTTGTTATAGATGTGAAGAATTGCAAAAGCAAATGGTCGATGGGCAAGTATCTTTAGACCCTAACCACTTGTTCGATCTACTCGTTGGGAACATTATCAACAGGATTTTGTTCGGAGAGCGTTTCGAAAAAGTAAGTGCGCATCTTATACTGCCTCTCAATTCCTGACATGTAAAAATATTTCAAGTTCCAATGACTCCCAAATTTGTGGCTCCCTGTGGAAGTATTTCAAGCCGAGGTGTATACTTCCGTACAAATCTGATTTCAATTTCAGCATGAAGAAGAGAAGTTTTTCGGACTGAAATCAAAATTGGACAATATCTTCGACGATTTTAAAACGTACGATGTGTTGATCAACAAATGGACCGTCAGCTTCCCACCATTACGACGTAGAGCAGAGCAACTACTAAAGCCGCAAAACGATCTCATGGATTTTCTTGCGAATCAAGTAGAAAAAAGGTTCGGTCAACTTCTGTGAAGTATGGGTTCTGGACTCAACGATAACGCTTACGATTTGTAGGAAAAAAGATATCGCTGAAGGACTTCATTCATTGGAAGGCGAAGGGAATGATTTTGTTGATGCATTCCTCATACAAATGGAGAAGAATAAAAAACTCGGTCTCCAAACAAGCTTTGAGTGAGTTTTGGGTGTCTAACAGTTTCATTTTCTTAAGTATAAGAAAATCGTTGTCTGGGTTGATATAGGGTAAGCGCCGCTAACTAACGGCACGGATCCTACTGTACCTTGCTCAAGTGATCGGGGCCATCATTGACTCGAGGTCCCTGATGAACTAGGGTTGTTTGATGAGTAAAGATACAGACCCCGATCCTCGATCCCTCTGAGACATAAGTAATGCTTGCCGAATGATCTGTCATGGCTGCGAGGTCACTAGCAGCACATCTCGACCTATTCAGCAACATTCAGTGAGCTGATTGAAAGAATTCCGCTGGATAGTGAGACAGTTACCTCACAGGTGCATCTATAGTTGAATTTCCAAGATGGTGCATATCTAATAATTCACGGTTCTTATTGAAATTTTGAAGTGATGAGTCACTGACGCATACACTGCTTGATCTATGGGCAGCCGGTCAAGAAACCACGGCTACAACACTGAAATGGGCATTTGCATACCTTCTCCTGCACCCAGAGGTATGCTTTATAGCTTCTTCTATACAAATCTTTTTGCGTTTGCTATTACTATTGTATTGGCTATTACAGTTCACCACAAAAATGGTATGAGATTCCCCGTAGAGTGAATTTGTGGCTTCCTCGTACACCACAAGTGAAGGCTTAAATAGGGCGCATTAAAGGTTCAAAGGTTGTCTTGTGAGTATCCTCGGACGAGTTTCCCCGGCATTGTAGAGGCTGCACCAATCACGAGGGAACCCATGTAGGAAGTTCAAACAACATGTCATGACCCATAGCAACAGGGAAGGACAATTCTGGACAGTTTTGGCTTCATGCAGTCAGTTCTTTGCGCAATTGCAACTGAAATCTGGTCCAAATACCCCTTCCATGTTTATTCCATCATGGCAATCTCGTACAACCTCTATTTCCCCTGCTTTGGCGTGTCTTACTTTTCTCAAAACCGGCGAATTTCCTCTCTTTCTTCACTATCGATGAGCTATTCCCAACCAACACATCCGCTTTTCGACAAAAAAGGGTCAAAATTATCGCGAACTGTGCCTCCAAGTGCTTATGAAGCCGAAGCTGCTAACTTCCCTAATTAGCCGTTTCGTACGCTAAGAAGATTCATTAAGTAGTAATTTAGGTGACATCGAAAGCAGTACAGGAGCTTCGAAGCGTAACTCATTCCAACAGGCCTCTATCTCTTGCGGACAGAACCAACACTCCATACTTCAATGCAGTACTTACCGTAGGTTGTAAACAATTTGTTTTTCAGAGAGCTAAGAAATTCCAATGAGAAGCTCAATATCAGGAAATTCATCGATGTGCAGCGATCTTCCCAATGAATCTTTCGAGGAGGACCGAAGGAGACACTTCTGTCGGGAAGTACACAATACCTGACGGAACCTCGGTCAATGTACAGTTGGCTCTTATTATGTCAGACACTGCATATTTCCCAGACTATGCTGAGGTAAAAATTCGAATTTCTTTCATTTACTTTCAATCTTCCAGGTGTTTCGTTCTATCCTTTCCTTGTTCTCCCCCGTTGTCTTCCCACTTGGGCACGTCTACTAGCCCCTGATACCCTTTATTGCTAATTATTTTTCTAGTTCAATCCGGACCGATACATGGCAGGACAGAAGTTAGAAGAGCAAGTCATTCCATTTGGAATAGGACGGCGGGCATGTCTTGGAGAATCTCTAGCCCGAGCAGAGTTATATCTAGTAAGTATAAAGTTCTCGATGCACCATTGAGTAAGGCAATTCGAACGGAAATGAAAACGCACGTCCAAAGGCTCTAGATAAGATTTCTTACTTATTGGATTACAGAGAGAAATGATGGTAATTTCCAGATAATAGGAAATCTCCTTCTACGGTTCGATATATCGACTAACCCAGACCATGCACCAATGGACAAAGCCAAATCTGTGTTTGGAGTCGTTCGGAAAGTGTCTCCGTATCATATTGTTTTCAGTCGCTCATAATGATATAACTTATCACTGCTGATCACATCTCAGAAACTGTATGATACCTCATTTGCGGTTCTACCTGTGTGCCTGATACTCATGGATAAACATTGATAACATTAGAGTACAATTACTTTACACATTTTATCAGCGGGAGCCTACCAACGAAATTCTATTCAAGGCAGCTTTCTCGACAGATCCACTGTAATTTTCCTT